GGAGAAAAAATATGGATTCAAACAAGTTTTCATACAACACTCATCAGGAATCGTCGTTGAACTAAAGGACACTGAAACAAAATTGAACTGTTATAGAAAATTTAAGTTAGAGAAATAACAATAAGAACAACAGCAGTGAAATTTACAAGTGTGGATTTTAACAATCAAAGCCACAGCAATAAGGAATGCGTGTGCTAACAATAAACTTGCAAATGGAAAAGGAACAAACAAGAGAAAGAAAGAAGGAAAGACAAAGTGATAACACATAACACCAGTACATTTCACCTAGAAAATTAACGGCCAAGCTTGGCCGCACCAAACACGACACGTTTCTTGAACAATTTCAACCCAATTATACTATTTTTCTGTACACACAAATTAGGTTTATACACACGCTGATAGATAGCTTCCAACACTTTTAACTGTAGTCCATAACCATGACGACCACGGCCAAATACAGTGAACGAAGACTTCGAATACGAATTCCAACAATGAGGACTAGCTAGCAGATGTTTGTACACTAAAGACTTGCTACCACGAAACCTACGCACTACACTAACACTCTCACCAGCACTCTCACCATCACTCCCATCATTGCTCTCCGACTCACTGCTCCCTTCGCCGTCCGTTCCATCTTCCGCTTCCTCTTCACTCTCTCTGTCTCGTCCATCCTGAGTGACCGCGTCCATTGAACTGAACTCTGCCGTCGCCCTGCTGTCACGTCCCTCCTTTCTCCCTTGTCCGTTGAGTGCGTAGCTTCTGTTGTAGTTGGCTGTTGATCGTCTTCGTCTTACAATTGTGGGCTTGCATGGTGGATTAGTTGTGCTTGCTGTAGATTGCGCTATTGGAGTTGGTGTGGGAACTGATGGTACGCAAGGTGGGTCTTTTTGAGTCGGCGTTTGTAGTGTTAATGCCGCTGTCAGTGTTGCTCGCGGTCTGCCGCTGGCAAGCTCCACCGCCGCAAGAACCGATGGCGGAAGATCAGGAGGAGGCAGTGGGACCGGGACCGCAAGTGGCACCGCCTCAGCCAAAGCCGCTGGGAGCACTGACGAAGGAACCACCGACGGCAGGAGCAAAGGCGGCGACACAAGCCGACCCGATGAGCAACCACGCCCATTCTCCTCCACTATCGGCACCAGCTACGGTGGAGCAAGCACAGTCTGTGAGCCAGGATCCGCGGATGGGTATTTCGGTCTTTGAACACTTGGTGGTGGGTTTGATCTACTCACCTCCCACCGTTTAGACGCCGTATCGGTGCCTTGATCCTAGAGGGTGGTGGCGTTACCACGGTGGATGCGGAAAACTCGGCTTCCAGCCGAGTCTCACGCGAACCGTGAAATTTATTTATTTATTTCATAATCATAACATGGGTTTCAAGTGAACATTTATTCTTACAAGTAATTTTATCGCATAGTAAAATATATCGATCACTGCAAAATCATGTGGAGATTCTCTTACCTTCGAAAGGATGCCAAAATATGCTGCATATTTTAAACCAGCGCATTGTGCAAACAACCCGTCTCCCTGGCCCAATGTTGCGCTATGGTGCCAGGCTTGCTGTGAGAAAGCAAAGATAAGATATATATTTACACGTACAATGTTGTTGTTGTTGTTGTTGTTGTATTCTTTTATTTCAATTTGCTCAGGGCACAGGTTTTAATGCCTTCTCACCGGAGAGAGGATTCTCCGATTGCTACCAAAAACGACAAATCTGCGATATGGATATGTATGAGAAAGATATGATAAAATTGAATAATGATGATGTCGGATTACGATAGTTTAGTTGTTATGCGAGATTTGCCTGACGATTACAGATAAAGCGTTTCTGGAGGCAATGTACATGTGCATGTACACTATGTACATTTAGGTACGGAACGGTGTCTCTATCGTTGGACTCTCCCTCAGCCAACTCGCTCAAGTTGCGATGCAGGCTCAATAATGGTCACGAGCATCACTGGTATTCTGGACATGTTCGCGAAAGGCTTCCGCAATTTCTATCCGTTCATGCTTAGTCAAAGCTCGGGCACTAGTGGACTGATACTGGCCCGTGGGAGCATGTTTCGCAAACATCATAGCTTCATGATGACTATCCCCGCACATGTTTTGACCAAATCCTGCAGAACGTGACATATAGTGTGTCATGTAAAATGTAGGTGAGTGAGCCACCAGCTTTCAAAAACTCGCTGTACAGGAGCTTTTTAGTTGTGTGGCATGGCAAGTAGATTGGCGCTGCTCCAATATGGCCTCTAGTCTGGGGGCTGCAGCCTGTGGCAATCCGTTAATCTGCACTGAATAAAATTTATGGAATGGCAGTCACCTTCTCCTCCTGGGTCCGTGCCCCCCACCCCCTGCCTGCCATGTCACACGCCACACGTGCCTGCACCTTGTCAGTTTATGTCGCATGTACCTACTGATAATTGTTAGGGTACAACTAAACCTCGTGACACAACAAACTACATGACTGTAATACAAAAGTTAGGTACTACATGTGTAATTAGTCGATTTTGGCTTACTAGAACTCTAGGCTCCGCTGCACCAACTGTTATTCTGTTGAGTACTCTGGTGCTAGGGCAATGAGTTGTCTACAGTGCAATAGTGTTGGAAATTTCCATAATAATTATATTATATGTACACCAAAATTTACATGTTGGTACGTTGAAGTACACGTACGTTAGCACCAGGTTGAAATCGGGCTTTGGAATTTTTAATTTTTCATAGCTATCATGTTCGGTCTCATTTTCTCTGTGCTGCGCTGATGTGGTGGTGAGTCCACAAAGAAGGAAGCAGTTCTGTCCGCAGATTGAGTACACCATAACATGTCATGTAGCTAGTCACCCACTAATCAAATCACGCTGATGAAACTGCCAACCTGCGCCAGGTCCAGGAATGTACTGCACTGACACCTACATGTACATGATTGTACAATAGTACATGTGCATCCACTCCAGCACCATACGGCATTCCCTACGGAAGGGCCAGATCTTCATGTGCATGTGTGTACATGGTAAGTAGGAAGTTGGCGTTAGGCAATGTAGAGCATACGACACGGCGAGAAGCCGGGCGCGAAACTGGCTATATGTACATGTACATGCACAATATCAAGTATTTATAAAGTAAGAAAGGGTTTCCTCCCAGCACCGGAGCTCGCTCTATTCCGCCGCCGAGTCCTCAGTCAGTCAAGTCACAAGTGAAGTCAGTGTAGGGAGCAAACCCTTTCATACATGTACATGTTCACATCATCGCGGAAGTCCTAACCACTATTTCTTTACAGTAGGCATCGGCCATTGAGAACTGAATTTCGTCTGTTTTACGTGGAATTTCTTGGAGTTTTCCAATGTATTGTACTTGAATCAAATTCTATTTTCCCTTTCATGGTATCTCTATTTTTTCACGTCTAAATGACTTTATTCTGCCCGTAAAAGAAGTCGTTACCCCCGAAAAAACTATTAATTTTCTTTACATGTATAATTAAAGTAAACATGACAAATTTAAATAAGCGGAGAAATCACATGAGAACGAGTTATGCAGCAACTATCCACGACTGTAACAAGATAAAACAGCCAGAACGTGCGATAACAGGGCGCACAACTGACAAGCTATCTTGTTACAGTCGCGGATAGTTTCTGCATGCATGTAACTCTTTTTCGTGTGATTTCTTCTCCTTTTTACATTTTATTAGTGGCTCAGTAATACAGTATCCGAGTTCAACATAACACATTCATAATTACATGTATTACATGTATGTACATGTACATGTATATCCCAGGGCAAAATAGCGTTAATGTGAAGAAGAGGTTGGTGCGACTTCCGCGATAGTAAAAAAATAGCACACTATACATGTAGCGTAACTTGCAGTTCCTTGGTCCGTTTTCCCTTTTCTTTTGGAAAATAATCATCCTTGGCTCTCCAGCCGAGTCCACAATAAATCATATAGTTATTTACACAAGACATCGAGCGACGGATAGCCGAGAAATTCGTTGCTACTCCGAGTTTCGTAGGAAAGCACTCATCACACAACTTCAAGATGACTTGTGTGTCATTTCTCTGTCTTTTTAACGTTGAGCACTCTCCACGCGGTATGTGTGTGTGTGTGTGTCATGTTGTGTTCTAATCATTCGCCATGCCACTGTCAATTGTATTCTGTTTGCCCGTAAAAGAGGTCTTCTCAACGCTGTGTGGAACCAGATCTAACCCTGCAATAAAATGATTCATTTATATTACTGAAGTATATCGTACGGATTGGTATAGCTCTTACAAGGGTCTTGAAGGTTATCCGGAGTTACATTTACATGTACAGTAGCTGTATGCATCACGTACATCTACATGTACATCTACATACATGTAGAAGGCCTTTGAATCGAGCGCACAGTAATTGCTACCATCATCGCCAAATAAATAATTAATAATTGATTCGCTTCCTGCAGCCCGACCTGGAGACTACAGCTGTACAGAAAACCGGACAGCTAAGATATTTTGGGGAATACCAACTTCCGCGCACGCAACATGTATTATTGTTCAAGGATATGTCTTGAACGACGTTACTGTCCTGACCCTGTGCACCATGGCGTCTCACGAAACCAGGGATTATTCACGCGACATGTTTAGACTACCATCACTCCCCTTCATTTCTCTAGCATGTCAAGGGCACCCTTAGTCTCCAAAATGGAAACAACAAGTCCTCAACCATATTGCAAAATACGTGGAGGTCTACTGTGAAGGGATTTTTAGAAACTTTTACTACAGTTGATATCTGGCAAAACAATGAAAGGGAAAGGGTTGCAAAGAGGGAAAGAGAGAAAGAGAGAGAGAGAGAGAGAGAGAGAGAGAGAGAGAGAGAGAGAGAGTGGTGAGGTGCGGGAATAAACCGCCAAAGTATAGCAGTGGTATATTGTGTGGAATGAATGTACACCTGGATGAAATCAGGAAATGCAATCATTCAGTTCGCTACCCGTACTAACTGAGCGACTTGTAGGACACCAGAAAACGATATCCGTACTAACTTAGCAACTGGTAGGACACCAGAAGACGATGAACACCAAGACATATTTAGGCGACTGAAGAATGTCGGAACCGAAAAAAGAACATTACGGAATCTTCCATGTTTACCGTTCTTGGTCACCTCCGTGACAACACAATCAGTGTGTGACTTTTACATAATGTAGGTAATCAGCAGAGAGAGAGGATGTTCCACAATGTCCTAAGTCAACACCAGCTGGTTACAAACGAGTGCTAGTTGGACTCTGAGGTTTGAGTGGTAGCTAAATGTGAAAGTGAAAAGGGTGACGGCAAGGAAATGGAAGTAGAAACGGTATAATCTACCACAGGGTCATGAATGAAAGCTACTTCAAAATGCTGCAGTCTGGCGGAGAAAGGTTGGAACTTAGCAGAACTATGCATGGGTAGGTAATTACCTTGAACAGGCGGAGCAGGTCAACTCCTTCTCACAGACGTATGCATTTGGAACGTGAGCTCTGGAGTTTGTGTCAACGAAATACAGCAGAGCGCCGTTGACGTTCTTGCTGGTGTCCTCCATAACCTCTGGCTGTTTGTCCATACAGATGTACTCTGTACGCTGGTGATCGTACTTTGCCGTCATCAAGTACCCATCATACTCTTTGGTCCAACCATCGGGACAGGTCAAATGAGCAGGGAACATGAACTGCGCTGAACGACCGCTCGACTGACGCAAGGCACATACTGGCGTGTTGTCATTCTGGCTATGGAAGGCAGGTATCGACTTAGATGGCGTCTGTAGTTCGGCGGTTTGGAGGATAGAGTTTGATTGAGTTTTAGGTATGTACTGACAGTATTCTGGCTCCATCGGCATTCACAAATACTGCGCAGCGCCTCATTTAAGTGAGTACCAAGGACCACCCACGAATCCACTGTAGGCTAGATGTGAGCCCTCATTGCAAGTGCTACTTTCCCAGTGCGTAAAGAGAGCGCCATTCTCGAGATCATTGGTGCCGCCAACAGATAGTCGAATCTTCCCAACATCATGGACGTCCTCCAAGTCTTCTACTGCCACTTTGTCACTCATAGCGTCAAAAGGTTCCGCGCCGTATTGTTCCTGATCTCCGTATGCTCCCATGGCGACTATTGGAAGAGCAATGGATAGACCAACCATCAAAATCATACAACGCACGTCCATGCTGCCTTAGTGACCTAGGTTAATTATGGTACCTCGTAACACCTTTCGGAACAACTATTCAGAAGGTCGTATAACGCACTGTTTTGTAGTTATCGACAAATCAAGCCAGTCATTTTACAGGCCACTCATCGGTGCTCGAGCGCCCTGAGAGTACGATCACGACAGACTAAGGTAGGATGGTTACAAGGTGCACTTGTACAGACGTAGTACGTTCTAGACCACCGCCGCGGCGCTGCCCCTTGTGAGTACAACTACGTGTAGGTAACGCCGGTTTGTATATAGACTAGGATTGGCTTGTTCCACTTACATGTACATGTACGCACCTAGTACCTGTACCTGCTGACCGCGGCATGCACGTCACACACACTAGCATTGTGTTCCTCATCATTGATGATCGTGCCGCTCAAAAGACAAAGAAATGTGAACTCATTGCATTCCTTTCGGCCTCAACAACGGATAATTAGGACTTCTAGTTCGATGTGTGGCCCGGTGAAGATCGATCCACTAGAGTTTGTTTCAAACAGCAATCTTCACTTCTGATTCTGAACACACGGTGATTTCAGCAGGATCCGGACGACCATGGGGGATCATAAGATCAGAAACAATGTCACTGTTCCTGAACGTCAGTTCGACGAAGGCTCCCCATCTGAGGGAAGGCCACCACGTCGTTGATCTTTAGCGCTGATGCAGTTCCTACAGTGGTGGGAGATTTATATCAGACCCACCAGCAAAGAACTTTGAAAGAGACAATTGAATAGTTTTCGCAAGGCTTGAATGAGTTTCTTGCGACTGCGACAACATTACATGGTACTTTGCAACTGTTACAGGTAAGTACCCTGTCATACGTGTACGTGTACGTGTACGTGTACGTGTACGTGTACGTGTACGTGTAAACATGTACACAGGAAAGTGTGTGAACCAGCTCCCAACTGCTTTTACTATTGTCAAGAGCCGCTTTCTTAGCACGGGTAGACGCATAATATATTCTGGACACGATTGACCATTATTAGTAACCACACGGCTATAGTGATTACAATTGAAGTTGCCACATTTAGCCGCATAGAAGCAACTTGACGCTCCGTTGCGTGTATTCAAGCTGTATTGTTGGGCACAAGAAACGACCTTAGGAAAAGGGCCAGGCTATAATATTGGCTTGCACTGATACCATCATTTTTAATATGTTTTGTGCTTCCACCGCAAGGTTCACTTTGCCGTCTTTTTCTGAGTAATCCTAAAATATGATGCGAAACGATGTGAGCAGTTTCAAGACTTTTGCGTCAGCTTTGGGTGATTCCCATGTCTCTGAAAACTGCTTTCCCTATTTAAGGTTGTTTGTTTGTAGTACACACATGTTTGGAGAAATGATGCTGCTAAAACTTCCATGTTTCAGTTTCCTCACCAACCGTAGGCAGGAGAGTAGAAGTCAATGAAGCCAAAAACATCAGGATAAGGAAGGCATTACTGTTTGAACCTTTTGAAGGACGCTTCACGCAGCTTCATTACCCTTGAATAGTTTTCAGGCAACCTGCCTGCACTCAAGAGAGCACTGAATTTCACACAAATCCATTAGAGATATCTTTTCAATGTTTCGGTCTTCATAACCATGATCAGGAACCTCCCCCCCCCCCCCCTGATGATGGTCATGAAGACCGAAACATTGAAACGATATCTCTAATGGATTTGTGTGAAATGCAGTGCTCTCTTGAGCGTAGGCAGTTTGCCTGGAAACTATTCAATTACTGTTTGGTCGATACAATTGTCTTCTACATGTACACGTACACGTAGATATACATGTACCTCAAACACTACATGTATTAGGTCGAGCAACACTAATCCTTGCTGTCTAAAATAAATAAATTTGCTTTAGAGAAAAAAATTCTGAGGCATTATAAACTAGAACTAAACGGGACTATCGCAACCAGGACTCGAAGTCGAAACATTACGTGCACAGCTTCTCACCGTTAACAATGCTCAGCCATGCCTAACGCCACATTCCTATAAGTTATAACCCACTTAGCTAATTAGACCTGGCACTTCAGTAGGGATTGATTCCTGAGCGGACGCGCATGCACGTGTCGGTGCAGATCATTCTTCACCACCTGGAACAGGTTGGCAGTCATCAGCATGATCTGATTGGTATGTACATACAGTGTACAATGTACATAGGCATGTACAGGTGCAATGTACATACGTACATGCCTATGTACATTATTGTACATAAGTCATTGACATTGTATCAACTGAATCGGCACTGTGCACGAATTTCACAGATCGTGCCGAAAATTAGTAGACATCTAGACTTTTCTAGACTTAGAACCCGAAATGGTAGTCATTACTTGTAAGTTGTAGGAGTTTGTTTCAACAAGCACGTACATTTCTGAACATAAGGCGGTAGAACTAAACTCCCTGCTCTAGGTAACTGGCATATTAAAGTCAGTTCTGTGTTGGAAGAGAAAAATGCTTCACGCACGTGTATTGGCTGACGTACAGAAGCGAAACACTGCACGGAATGCGCACCCACATATTTTCTATTTAAAGCAATGATAGCGGATCTGATTCTGACAGAAAAGCGCCAGATAACTGTCTAGTCCACACAACTGGCGAAGCCACACACGAATACACACACACACCTTGAACCTTGAACCTTGAACGTGCCCATTGCCGATGACAATGATAGCGAAGGGACTGTGCTTTGCAGTATGGAGCGTGGCGCGTGAGATCCCCGGAACGACGGCAGACCTTTCCACATGCGCAGCGGAAGCCAGAGTCAGGATCAGGGGGAGCGCGGGCTGGAGGACAACGATGAGCAATCTGCCTGCAGGCAGAGTGCTAGTGATCCTGGGCAGCATCAAACCAGCAGCCAGAAGGCACTTGGGGGCGGGCTGATGGAGCATTCACGCTACACAACTTTTCACTATGTACTCTCACTTTAGCTCATACATGTACATGTACATGTACATTCTTCAAAGCGGTAAACCCCTTGATAGGCGACAAGCCTCTGGGTCATCCTAATAAAGATATTATTATTGTTATTATGTGGATTCACAGGAAGGGTGAGTTACGAAGTCTGAAGAAAATGTTGAACGGCCTCTGCTGGAATGACGACTACACCATAGCTCAGTGGTTAGAGCATCGCTGGCTACAAGCGAAGGTCCCTGGTTCGAGTCCTGGTGGTGACAGTCAATTTTTCTTCAGACTTTTTCCCGTTTGTCTCTTTCCCTCAAACCAGTTAGTATTATTATTATTATTATTATTAACTGGTTTGAGGGAAAGAGACAAACTGGATTATTATTATTAAAATTTCAAATTTGGACTTCACGGAGAATTTCAAATTGTTAGAAAATTAGAGGCCACATGCCACGCACTGCTCTTTTCCCTGGTTCGTGTCCTGGTGGTGTAACTGATGATTTTTTCTTTCTTTCATATCTGGCTTGCAGGTGTTAAGTTTCGGAGAGAAAAAAGCAGTACGTGGCATGTGGCATGTGGCCTCTAATTTCCTAATTATTATTATTATTATTTGGAAATTTGAGGCCACATGCCACGTTTGAAATTTGAAAATTTGAAATTGCAATTTGTATTTGCTCGCAGTGGACATAGTTTGATGCGCTCCCCGTGATATCAAGCGAATGGCCGAGGGCCCTCTTGTCGTGTAGTCTTGATTGGTGTGAGTTGCCAGTATGATGCAAGCCAGATATTAATTGATCGAAAAAGGATAGATTTAAGGTGAAATAAATAAATTTACCGGTACCATCACTGTGCATAAGAGTCATACTGTAGCTCAGTTGGTTAGAGCATTGCTCGCGAATAGCAAGGTCCCTGGTTCGAGTCCCGGTGATGTGACTGATGATTTTTTTCTTTCTTTCATATCTGGCTTGCAAGTGTTGAGTTTCGGAGAGAAAAAAGCAGTACGTGGCATGTGGCCTCAAATTTCCTTTCACTTTGAAAATTCTCCGTGAAGTCCAAATTTGAAATTATTATTTTTATTAAATTAAAAAAAAAGTTCACGGTTCGCGTGAGACTCGGCTGGAAGCCGGGTTTTCCGCATCCGTAGGAACGCCACCACCCTTCAAGGATCAAGGCGCAGATGCAGCTCCTAAAGCGGTGGGAGGTGAGTAGATCAGCTCACCAGCAAGTGGTCAAAGACCGAAAATCCCATTCACTGCATCCATGTTTTCCTCGTGCCAGGCCACGAGTTCCCAATTAACTGTGGGTCGCAGCACGGCTGGAAAAAATCCTTCCGCTTCCAAGCAGGACTTGAACCTGGTACCCTCTGTTTCTCAATCATGGTCTTAGACCATCCCACTATGCCTGCCTGCTATTTTTATTATTAGCACAAAAAATGTGTTATCTACGCATGTATCTACGCAACAGTCACCACCAGCCAAAGAGGACATGTTTCAAAGTATTGAACGTTTTCGTTCCGTTCTTGTCAAAATACTACAGGGAATGATGGAAATATGCTAAAAGACCATGTACTGTTAAATCTTGTCCCTGTAGCTGCACGTGGTTGTCGGCCCCGACGTGGTCGTCCACCGAAGTGTCCAGTGCAGTCTTTGCCTGAGGTGGACTTGTCCAAGTCCGCTGTGGATACGCTTGACGACCCCTCCTCCTTTTCGTCGGGCCCAGGGCTGGAGCCAACCCGAACAACAGTCAACAAGAAGAAGAGACTGATACGGAAACCACCGAAACTGACATCTGAACAATCGAGCCCCGGACGAGTCACCAGAAGCCAATTGAGGAGACGAAACGATGAGGAATCAAAAAAACAAATACTGGAAGTTACAACAACGATCAATGTGAAGAAAGGAGGTAGACCACGGAAGCAGGACAGACTGGGTGTGGAGCAGCACACTGATGTCGACCGAGACAATCGGAATTGCAGGGACGCAGGGCGTAATGGGAGAGATTCGCAAGCGGCAGGATCGGAGGTGACAACGGCC